TGGGGCCACCTGCTCCATCTGGGGCGCAACCCCAAAGTGAGGGCAATGGATGGTGTCCCTCAGGTTTAGCCAGCTGGGATGCAGCTCTGGCCCTCTTTGGCCAGCAGCATGACCGGGAGCAATTCTCTCCTCCCACACTTCGATTATATATGCAGGGTATTCAGCCCAGAAGGGACATAGAAAACCTGAAATGGTGTCATTTATTGTATTGTTTTCTTATTTTTGCACTGTGACTTTCTAGCCATTTGGTGGCTTTGGGACCCAGACAGTTACTGAGAATTCCTAATCCAAGCAGGAACTGAGTGAGACATTTATATCCCCTTGTCTCCCTCACTCATTCAGTGACCATGCATTGGGAAGTGAGACCCCTTGGTGTGTTTAGCTCCAATCAGATGCTGTGTGGTGCCCACTGTGTGAGGTTTCTGTTATTCACTGGCTCTGGGGGAGTTCCTGGGCCTCAGTTTTTCCTTCTGTGAAAGGGGAGCAGTTAATTGACAGACCTCCTAGGGCGGTGGTGAAGCTCAAGGAAATGGTGAGAACAGTGCCTGGAGCGTGGCAAGCATCAGCAGGTGTCACTGCAGGGGATGGGGGCTAGATGGGGTGCAGGGCACAGAAGGAGGGCACCCAGCCCCGATCTGGACAGGGTTAGGGTATGGAAGCCTCCTCCTGAGGTTTGGCCCTATAGGTCAGCTTCACGGCTGACATGGGAGGGTGGACAGGAACACGTGTTCTGGAAACAAAGGCTCAGGGTGCCCAGAAGGCAGGCTGGCCCTGGGGAGGCGGGCTTTGGTTGACGTTGCCTTCAGTGTATCCACCAGAAGAGCCAGAAGTTGTGAACCCATCTGATCGTTTGATCGGGTGTATGCTATGGACTGGGACAGAAAGGGAATGAGTCCTGGCCTCAAGGAGGCCACATTCTGGTAGGGACAGCCCTGGTGAAATCACCCTAACTGCTGGATGGTAGCATGTGACCAGGCTGCTAAAGGACATATTCAGGAGGGGATGCAGCTTTTCTGTGCTCCATTGGGAAAAGACAGGTAGAAGGACTGGTAGTACCAGCACTGTGGCTGGGGTGGGCCACATGGGGCCACAGAGATGCATGGAATCCTCTGGGATCAAGCCCCTGTGGGCACCCCAAGCGCCTTTCTCACTCAAATCAAGGCCTGGTTGTGGGGGACTGTGGGGCTGACCCGATGTGGGGTATGATACCTTACAGCATCAGAACATGGGGGCCTAGGGCAGATGTGGCCCTGCTCTTTTCCTCCTGAAAGCTGTCATTGAATACTTCACTGTGCAAAGCAACTGCTGTGTGCAGGTGCTGAGACCCCTGTGACTGTGTGCAGAGCACTGTCCCAGAGAGTGCTCAGAGGCTGCATGCCGTGGGGTCACTGCTGAGGCCTGGAGTGGAGGCCAGAGCCCTTGTCACAGCTGTTCCTGTGTGCCACTGTGAGGGGGGTCACATGACGGGAAGGTGCATGGGGGGCATTTCCTGGCACAGTCCTGCATAGTGAGCCCCTTTTCCTGATCCTCACAAACCTGATTGGCATCTGAGGAGACCAAGCATCAGAAGGCCACATAGTTATGTGGTCACCTTTGCAGTGGGAGCTCCCAGAGGGCAGGAATTTTTGTCTGTCTTCTTCACAGTTGTGTCTCCAGGGCCCAGCGTGGTGCCTGCGCATGCACAGTAAGCCCTAAAGAATATTTGGGGGAATAATTGAGGAAGAGTGGACAGAGGCCGCCTTCATACCCAGGCCCATGTGGTCCTGCAGCCTGTGTCCCACACTTCTGCCATGTCTCATGATGGAGTGGCACTGTTCATGCAGGGTGTGTACAGCTTCATGCCAGAGCAGAGAGGGCATTTTCCATTCTCCATCCTGAAGAGCAGATGTGGACATGTCCCTGCAGGGGCCCCAGCCCAGCCAGGTTGAGGGCAGCAGAGGGGGAGTGGGATTGGCCTGCGGCCATAGGGTTGGAGGGATCCCTGCTTGGGGTGAGCAAGTGAGACTTCCTGTCCTGAGTCCCCATCAGAGCAGGAGACTCCTTTCTCCTTTTGTGAGTTTCATTTAGTTATCCATCCCCCTTTTTTAAATACGAGTTTCATTTAGTTATCCACCCCCCTTTTTTTAATACTGAGGATTAAACTCCAGGACCTTTACAGTGAGTGACATCACTATGCCTTTTTATTTTTTCATTTTGAGACTGGGTCTCACTAAATCACTTAAGTTGCCCAGACTGGGCTGGAATTTGCAGTCCTCAAGCCTGTTTTTGTTTTTGTTTGTTTGTTTGTTTTTGTTTTTGCTTTTGGTACTGGGGATTGAACTCAGCCCCTTGTGCTTGTGAGGCAGGCACCAGAACCACTGAGCTAAATCCCTGGCCCCAAGCCTCAGCTTTCAGAGTGCTGGGATTACAGGCACTTTTTATTTGTGGCTTTATATTTTTTCATATAGACATCAATATACTCACACTGTAACATTTAAATAAGGGTGGCCACAACCATCCCTTACTCAGCTTTTTCTGGATTCTAAGGTTTTTATATTTAACTCAGTATTTCTTTTTATTTGGTACTGGGAATTGAATCCAGGCCTTCACACTGAGCTACATCCTCAGACCTTTTAATTTTTTAAATTTTGAGACAGAGTTTCACTCAGTCACTAAGTAAGTTGCCAGCTTGGCTTGAATTTGTGATCCAGTTTTGCCTCCTCTTGTCCTGGGATTACAGGTGTGAGGCACCATGCTAGCTTCAGCTCAATCTCCATTACACTCCCACGAGGTAGGCAAGGTGGTGGCTCTCTTTTGACAAATAGGGAAACTGAGGCAGAGAGGAAGTAAGTCACTCAGGGTCACATAACTAGTTAAACACTGTTGCTGGAATTTGAACTCAGGCTCCTGAATCTCCTTAGCCATATTCTACATATAGGTAGGACACTTTCCTAGGCTATTTCTTCCCTGCACCCCAGATTTGGTTTGGGGTGTGACCACTGTTTTCAGATGAGCTTGCTTTTGCCAGGCCTTCTTGCCCACCATATAAAGCTGTTACTGCAAATGCATAAACTGTAGTTTGGTTTTCTGTGTGTTATGTAGACAAAACTGTACATTTGCATTGTTCTGCGGTTTGCTTTGTGGCTTACCCATGTGCCTTGGGGTGCTCCTGGAGGCGGCGGGTAGGACCTGCTATGCCCTTTTCAGTGGCTTGTACAGCATTCCACCCTATAGAATGGGCTCTAGTTCATTTCAGTAGCGCCTGACTGTTGGGCATTTGGGTTGTAACTAATTTTCCACTATTATGAACATTGCCCTAAGAAGTATCCACCAGAAAATTGTTCTGTACTTGCCTTCTGTGCATATGAGCAAGTGTATATCTCAAACACCTAAGCACGATGAGTTGCTGGGTTTAAAATTGGTCATGTCAAGAATAAGCAGCATTGTAGGGGAGTTCCTATTTCCTAGCCTCTTCACCAGCACTCAGTATTAACTAGTAATTTAAAATTAATTGACTTTTTTTTTGGGGGGGGTACCAGAAATCAAACTCAGGACCATTCACTTGCCAAGCAGGCGTGGTGCCAATTAATTGTCTTTTTGAGTCACAGTTATGCAGTATAGTGTAAGCTAGCCTGAAACTCCTTATATAGTCCAGGTCAAGAACTATTGATTGTCATGAACTATTGATCACCCTGCCTCAGTCCCCAGGTGCTAGGATTAAAGGCATGTGCTATCACTCCTGGTGGTAATTTTTATTTTTTTATTTTTGTGGCACTGGGATCAAATCCAGGGCCTTGCACAAGCCAGGTGAGTGCTCTAACCAACTGAATTCCATCCCTAGCCCCCCCCACCAACGAGTATATATATATTCTCAATGTTTTGTTTGTTGGTTGGTTTTTTGAGACAGGGTTTTGCTGTGTAGTTCAGGCTGGCCCTGAACTCACGGCAGTGCTCCTGCCTTAGCCTTGCTAATGCTGGGATTACATACAGGTCCAGCCTTGTTACTGGGTTTTAACCTGGCTCCTGGAAATGCTAGGTAAGCACTCCACTGCTGAGCTACATCCCTAGCCCTTTTTCTCGTTCTTCCTCCTCCTCCTTTTCCGTTTCCTTTTCCTTTTTTCCTTCTTCCTCTTCCCCTTTTTCCTCCTCCTCCTTTTTTAAATTTTGAGGTCGTCTTGCTATAAATTGCCCAGGCTGGCCTCAAACTTCAAATCCTCTTGCTTTGCCGTCCTGAGTAGCTGGGATTACAGGTGTGGGCCGTTTTTTATTTTGATGCTGTGCAGGTGAATAGCTTCTAGTGGTGGCTCGAAGTGCAGTTCCTCCTCTGACCTCCATCCACTTAATGCGGTTTCAGTTGCCTGTGGTCAACCAGCGTCTGAAAATATTCTGTGGAAACTTCTAGAAATAAGAAACAATACATCTGAAATATCCCTGTCTCGGCTAATGTGATTAGATGTTCCCCGCCGCGAGTCCAAGCTGTATAGGCCAAGCATCCAGGCCCTCCTGGGGTGGGAGGTGCTCTTGGTTTCGGGTCTCTGGCGTCCCCACCACCTGCGCCAGTCGCTCACCCTGTGCCCTTTTGCCTTTCAGCCCGGCCGCCCCGCCTCGGTCTCCGCCATGAATGGGCCCACCCTGCAGACCCCCACGCCACAGCC